GGGTAGAGACCAGTAGGGCCAGGTGGGAAGTCCAGGACACAGGGAAGGGGGACAGGGCAAAGGTATGACTGAGTCCTCCATAATCCACATTGTTCCCTGGGCCTGAAGTGTTGGATCCAGGTGAGGAAGCTCTGAGTGCCTTGAATGAAGGGCCACTATAGCATCAGGGATCAGAACCTGTCCCTAGATAGGCCTGCCCTGACTCCCCAAGTCCAGACCTCATGCCAGTAAAACGAGTCCCTGGTCTCCAAGCCCCTCCCAGAGCAGGGTGACCACGCCCCTCTGCACTCCAGGCAGAGGCTGCTGGGCCAGGTCCCTCGCAGCTTCTCTTGCAGGGCCCTGGGTGCCCCGGGGGGGGGGGGGGGGCCCCACATCCCTGCGGTCTGCCGGGAGGAAGCGGCCCCCCTCCCCCACCGTGACTCTGCGCTTCCTGCCCCTGCCGGGGCGGGAGGGGACATTTCCCGTTCACACCAAAGTTTCCCTGGCGGCGCCCAGACTCGGGCTCAGCCGCTGCCCCTCTTGCCCATGGAGCCGGCTTTGGGGCCTGGGGTCCAGGTAACCAGCCAGGGAGGGCGTTAGGTTCCCAGGGCGAGGTAGGAAATTCTGCTTGTACTTGCGGGGAGTGTGCGTGTGCATGGGTCTGCCTGACCCATGGTGTACATGTAGCACCAGAGCCATAGTCAGGGAAGGTCTCCTGGAGGTAGTGGCAGCTGCTGAGCTGAGAGAAGGTGGAAGGCAGAGGCCAGCCCAAGCCTTTGGATCAGGGGTGGCTGGAGGGTGGAAGGCCTTCAGCCCCAGCACCAGTGTGGGCCATGGCCACATCCCAGGACTGTGCACACTTAAGCCCCACCCTCCCCTGCCTATGTCAGGCTTGCCTGAGTCCCCAGGAGTTAGGGAGGTGGGAGCAGAGACTGGGGAAAGCAGACAGGGAGCCCGTGAGAGCTGTCAGTATGCGGGGTAGTCCTCTGATGCTGACCTTCCAACTTCCCATCCTCCTCCCCTCCCCGTCCCTCACTGTCTCCACCTGCACTGCTCTGCCTCCGACCCCTGTCTACCCCACGTCTACCTCCATTCGTTGCTGTCTACACCCCCTTGTCCTTCCCATGTGCACTGAACCCTCTCTGTCTCCCACTGCTCTTCCCCCCCACTCCTTGGCCTGCAGAAGGACCTGGGCTACCTGCAGCAGTGGCTGAAGGCCTTCGTGGGTGCCTTCGAGAAAAGCATCTCGCTGTTCTCTCTGGAGCCGCGCAGGTGAGGCTGAATCTCCACGGAGGGCAGGGGCGGGGCAGGGAGACGGAGGGGCCTGGTGCCCTAGTGACCCCCCTCCCCGCAGGCCAGAGGAGGCAGGCGCGGAGGTGCCGCTGTTGCCGCTGGACGCGCTGCACGTGCTGGCCGAGCAGCTAGACAAGGGGGACCTGGAGCAGGCCCTGCTGCTGCTCAAGCTTTTCATCATTCTCTGCAGGTGAGTCCGTGTTGTTCTCGGCACGGGGAGGTGGGGGGCAGCTTGGAACTGTGGGCCGAGGTGGGGCTGGCCTGTGCCTGTGACCTCTGTGACCTCTCTCCAGGAACCTGGAGAACGTAGAGGCGGGCTGGGGCCAGGTGCTGGTGCCCCGGGTGCTGGCATTGCTGACCTGGTTGACGGCAGAGGTGAGGTGGGCTCTACCCTGGGTGGGGAGGTGGTGGTAGGCGGTAGCCAGGGCCCAGCTAACCCCCTCCACCCTGTCCCCATACCTACAGCTGAAAGGAGCCCATGCATCGCAGGAGGACCGTGGGCCGCAGCTGGAGAACGTGGCCCTGCATGCCCTTCTCCTCTGCGAGGGTCTCTTTGACCCTTACCAGACCTGGCGGCGCCAGCATAGTGGGTGAGAGCCAGCCCACCGCAGAGGGGGCTCTACCCTCTAGCCACCCCTGATCCCCAGAGAAGGCTGGGGAGAGAATGGGGGGAACCGCTTTGGCCAAGGTGTGGGGGTGGGAGGGGGCACGGGTGTAGGCTGGTGAAGGAGGATGGCCAAAGAGGGGTGGGGTGCCTGGCCTCACCCGGGCCCCTGCCCATCCCCCACCCCCACCCCCAGGGAAGTCATCACTTCCAAGGAGAAGAGCAAATACAAGTTCCCTCCAGCTGCTTTGCCCAGTGAATTCAGCGCCTTCTTCAGAGGTCAGGCCCCGCCCCTCCCCCCCCCCCCCCCGCAAGGCCCCACCTGGCCCCGCCCCCAAACCTGAGCCCCTTCCTGCTGTCCTGCAGTTCCCCATCCCAGAAGCAGGATGGGTTGTGCTTAGTGGTGGCTGCAAACAGGGCTGGGAGCACCACGGGAAACTGAGGGGGCCCCTGGCGCGGGGAGGGGCAAGGAGGACTTCGGGGGCAGAGAGGAGAGAAAGGGCATGTCAGAACAAAATGAGTAATTTCTTTTCTGGGATGGAGTGAAGGCCTCCCATAAGGTGGGGGAGATAAGTTTCCCTTCCCCCTTCCCCCCCCACCTCTTGGGTCCCTGTAGCCACTTGGACCCCACTCTGATCTGGACCATCTGAAAACTCCCTGGTCCAATCCCTTTGTCCCTGCAGCCTCCACCCCTCTTCTAGGTAACGTCTACACTAAGTGTCTCTACTTCCTGCTCCCTCGGTCCTGGGGTCAGTTCCTCCAGGACCTGTGCCCCCTGGGAGCCCTCTTCTCTTAGGTCCCCTCTTTTCCTCTCATTGGAATGAGAGTGGCCAAGACCTTAGATGGGACAGGGCAAGGTGTGCGTGGACAGGGGCAGGCCAGGCCTCGTAAAGTGGTGGCCTGTGGGGACAGAAAGTGTCTAAGTGTCTCTGGGAGGCCTGGCATCTGGAGCAGGGGCAACAGCCGCAAGAGAGGAGATGCCCCTGGGGAACTCCCTGCCTCCATTGTCCCACAACCTGAATGCACTTCCCAGCACAGACTGGATTTTGTTCCTGTTGCCCTAAACCCCTCACTGGTGGCCTGGCACCTCGGGATCAGATCCTGCTCCTCCCACAGCCTCCCTTTCCAGCCCCACTTGCCCTCTGCACCCGGTCTGCTAGTCCTGGAATGCGACTAGTTACCACGTCTTTTCCTACTGTTTTCTTTCCCTGCCCAGACCACCTGCACTCTCAAATGCCCTGTGTCCAGGGAGCTGTCCCACCCCATCCCACGTAAATCTAGTGAGCCCTGCCCTTGCCCCCCCCCCCCCCCCCCCGCCATACACACCACTCATGTGACCCAGGGCTGGTCCTTTCTGCTCTCTGGGTTTCATTCTGTGGCCTGGCATCCTGTCCAGCTTTGCTGGAGCAGGGCCAGGTGGGCCTCCCACATATGAAGCTGTGAAAGCCCCTAGAAGTCCCCAGCAGGCGCATGGGTGGGGGTGGGGGGGCATCTGTATGGTAGATACAGCAAAGTCCCCAGAGCAGGTCACAGGAAGCTCCAACCGTCAACAGGGTAGAGGGACCAGATTTGTATCTGAGAAACTAAACCCTGGGTTGCCATGGGGAAGTGGGGTGGGGTGTGTGTGTTTACCCTGGGGTCCCCACATTGGGGATTAAGGATCTGGAGAACTGGCCAGGCTCTCCAGGCAGGACCACGTCCCTTCAAGCTCCCCAAAGAAGGGCTGTGTTTTCCCTAGACACCCTGGCACAGAGCCATGGCATCTTAGACCCCCCAAGTACAGAGCCAGGTCTTTTCTCTCAGCCCCAGCCCCCTACCCCCACCCCAGGGCACCTGCAAGCTTGGTGACATTGTCCTGTCCTGCCCACTCACCCTATCCAGAGAGCCTGCAGGATGCAGATGGCTTGCCTCCCGTGCTGCTTTTGCGTCTCGTCCACCTCTTTGGTGCTGTCCTTGCAGGAGGGAAGGTAAGCCAGGAAGAGCCTGTGGACCAGAGGGTGGCCATCTCAGGGTCTCTGCTGGTTGAGCGCCTTGACCATTGCCATCTCTGCCCACACCTGCAGGAGAACGGGCAGATGGCTGTGAGCGCCGGCTCTGTGCAGGGCCTGTTGGGTGTGGTACGGGGCTGGGACCATGGGCCAGCCCAGGACCCCCGCCTAGTGCCCCTGGCACTGGAGGCACTAGTGGGTGCAGTACATGTCCTGCATGCCAGCCGCACACCCCCTCGTGGGCCAGAGCTCCGAACCCTGCTTGAGGGCTACTTCCGCATCCTTAATGCCGACTGGCCGGCGGGCCCAAGCCCAGGCCCTGAAGAGGCCCTCGTCACCCTACGGGTCAGCATGCTCGGTGGGTATGGGCTCCCAGGCTCTTGGGGAGGTGGCTCTAGCAGGGAAAGGTCTAAAGGACCATGGAAGGCAGGACTGGGAAGCATGGGAAGAAGGTTTAAGGCCGAGCGGAGGTGTTGCTGACAAGGGATTGAGCGGGGCTGACCCTGGATCCCTCCACAGATGCCATCCCCATGATGCTGGCATGTGAGGACCGGCCGGTGCTGCAGGCCACCTTCCTCAGCAACAATTGCTTTGAGCACCTTACTCGCCTCATCCAGAATAGCAAGGTGGGCTGGGCCCGGCTGGCGGGGAGGGCCTGGAACCCAGAGGCTGCTGAGCCACTTCTGGGGACTGAGCTGCTGCTGAGCAAACCTGGGCTGGACTTGGCTGGGGGAGGGGGGGGGGGGTTGTGGCTGGTGGGATGGCCTAAAGCTCAGGATGGCTCTGCATGCCATAGGAGGGGGATGTCCTGGAAGGACCGGAGCTGCCCTGGCCCCTGGTCCCTCTTTCCCCAGCCCCAAGTCCGAGGGCAGGAAGAGGGCTCAGCTGTTTTAGATACAGTACCTTCTCCTGCCCACTTATCTGCCCCACCCTCCCCGACTCTGTTCTGAGCAGGGCATGGGCAGCTCAGATTCCCCCATTCTTCTTAGTGCCTGGTGGGGCACTCGGCCTGGGGCACACAGAGCCTTCCCTTGGGGTGGAGCTCTAGCAGCCACCCCAGGTCCTGCTCTAACCCCACCCCTCCCCCCATCTTCCTCCTCTTCTCCTTTGCCTCCTATATCTTGTGCCTTCCCCCTTCCCCACAGCTGTACCTGCAGGCCCGGGCGCCCCCTGAGGGGGACAGTGACCTGGCTACCCGGTTACTGACCGAGCCCGATGTCCAGAAGGTACCACCTTGGGGCTGACCAGCTCAGGCACTCACCTCCCTGGGTCCCCACCCGCTATGGCTTCCTCTCTAAGCCTTTCCTGCCTATGCAGGGGGAATGAGCAGACATGTGTAAGGTCTGGTGTGGCCTAGCGACAGGGCTGGGTCCCCCATGCTATCTTGCCCACCTTCCCTATCCTTATCCTAGGGAATGGGCAGGAGTGTTCTGTGCCCTGCCTAGTATTTGTATTGGGAGCTAGAGTTTGGCTTTGCCAGGCTGGAAGGAACCTTCGAAACTCAACCACCTACCCCCATTCCCAGAAGCGGAGATTGAGGCCCAGATACTACTGGATTTGGCTATAGTCACTCACAGAAAAGGAGGTCCCCCACATGGGGCCATTTCTTTCCATGGGTCCTTGTCCCTGCCTTAAGCAGGTTACTGGGAGTCCCTTGTCCCCTTATGATGTGCTGCCTGCCTCACCTTGCATGAGGGCTGTAGGAGGCTGCAAGCTGTCAGTTAGGGGCTCTGTGTGGAGAGCCTTGTCTCTGGTGGTTTAACACCTGGGCCCCAACCTCTAGAGTCTCCCAGCTTTGTCTTTACGAGGCAGCCCCCTGTGGCCATTACACTTGCCTATTTTCTGAGAGCCTGCATATCTATTCATCTACTAAGCAGGCAAAGCAGGTGAGACCCCCCGGTTTTCACAGGTGAGAAAAAAATTGAGGCCCAGAGAGGGGAAAAAGGTCGTGTGAAGTCACTTAGGGAGTCAGGCCCCATGGGGCCCAAATACAGCCTGGCCCCTGTTGACAAATTCTCCAAGCCCTGCTGACCCCTCAGTCCTCAGGGGTGGGGCAGGGCGAGTGAGCAGCACATGCTTCTAGCTGTCAGGTTCAGCCAGGGTGAGCCTCAGTGTCTCCGCCTGGATCTAGGGGCAAGGGGCAGGGTAGGACTCAAAGGTCTCGAAGGTTCTTCCGGTTCTAACATCCTGTGATTGATGGTCCCTAAATTCCTCAACCCCCTGTCAATCATCATGGGTGATGGGGCACTTGCCTGCCTGCACATGTGTGTTTAGCTTGGGTAGGGATGGGTGGGGGCCCGTAAGCCTACCAGACACTGGGGGATAAAGAGTTTTGGCGAGAGGGTCCCCTGTTGATGTGTCCCAGTGAGGCACTTCCTGGTCTTGGTTTCTTCCTGGCTTCTTTGTCAAAGTGGGCCTTGCCGAGCTCCTCAGAGGGGGCCCTGGGGTAGGGTGAGGGTCATAACAGTTCAAGCAAGGAGGAGGAGGCCAGGTACCTCTACTCCCAAAGCCTCCAGCCAGCTCAGCTATGTGCCTTGGGGCACCTGCTCCTGGCCCTACACCAGGAGCAGGGGGCTGCCAGCTATGACTCCCTGGCCCCCGGTTCTTCTGACTGACCCTCCCCACCCCAAGGTACTGGACCAGGACACAGATGCCATCGCGGTGCACGTAGTCAGAGTACTTACCTGCATCATGAGCGGCTCCCCCTCAGCCAAGGTGAGGACACGGCGTTCTGGCTGTGGTAGGGGTGGGGGATGGCAGTTAAGCTGACCGCGTGCCCCCAGAACTAGTCTGGTTGGTGGCTGTTAGAGCAAGGGAGCTGGGGAGGTGACCGTCTTGCCCTCTGGGGTGCAGCTCAGCCCACTGGGCAGACATGGTCATCGGTCAGTGCTGGCAGCTGGATATCCTGGGTCAGGGAAGCACTAGGGAGGGTACTTGTGGGCTAACCACCATCTAGAGCCTTCTGAGGGGGACCCTTGCCCCCACATCCACCCACAGCCTCTTGCCCTTGCTAGCACTGCGACCCAGAGGCAGAGCCGGCGGGGGAGCCCTGGAAGATGACGCTTCCTCCAGGGTTTCCGTGGGGTGTGTTTGCCCCGGGGCCCACACACATGCTCACTTTTTCCCCACACAACCCTGCACAGGAGGTGTTTAAAGAGCGCATTGGCTACCCTCACCTGCACGAGGTTTTGCAGAGCCAAGGTCCCCCCACCCATCGGCTGCTGCAGGAGCTACTCAACATGGTGAGGGCAGGGGCATTTTGGCGTCAGGGTCCCAGAGGCGGTCAGGACTGAGGGTTTCCCTGGAAGGGGAACTCTCCACCTTGGGGACTGTGTTGGCTGTGGGCAGTACATAGTGTGACCTGTGGCCTGAGCACATGTGTCAGTTGCACTGGGGTGAAGATTCTGGTACGTGTGAGCAAGCCCCAAGATCATCCTGGGAACACGCCATTGGGGCAGGCCAACCCAGACCAAAAGTCAAGGCTCGGGAATTAACAGTGCTTGTCCTGAACTTCCCTGAACTTTCCTGAACCTGAGATCTGCCCCGTGAGCAAGATGGGGTAGCACGTGTTGCTTTCCCATGCCGAAGGCCAATCCACTGAGGCCGGGGAGTCCCACTGTTGGCAGGGTGGCCCATCCCATGCCAGTTGCCCAGGAACTATGCTGTTCTCTCTCCCCATAGGCTGTGGAGGGGGACCACAGCGTATGTCCACCGCCACCGATCCTGAACGAGCAGCCCGTGCTGATGCTGATGCAGTGGCTGCCGGCCCTGCCCACGGCGGAGCTGCGGCTCTTCCTCGCACAACGCCTTTGGTGGCTCTGTGACAGCTGCCCCGCCAGCCGCTCCACGTGTGTGCAGGCGGGTCTGGTGGGCTACCTGCTGGAGACGCTCAGCACGGGGGTCGCCCTGGGGGTCCGCTGCCAGGAGCAGCTGTTGGCGCTGCTGCAGGCATTGGGCCGTGTGTCTCTGCGGCCCTTGGAGCTTCGTTGCCTGCTGCGCCCCCCGCCAGGGCTGGACTCGGGGCCGGGCGGAGCGGAGGCTGGGAATGCCCGACACGCCGGTGCCATCATTCGTGCATTGTCGGGCATGGCCCGGCACCGGGGCCCTGCACGAGCCCTGCACTACTTTGACCTCACGCCCAGCATGGCCGGTATTATGGTACCCCCCGTGCAGCGATGGCCAGGACCCGGCTTCACCTTCCATGCCTGGCTCTGTCTGCACCCCACGGCTGCAGCACCTGCCCCGGCCCCCTCACGGCCACTCCAGCGGAAGCAGCTGTACAGGTGGGTAACTTCCAGGGACCGGGGCGCAGGGCCAGGGTGAGGAGAGCAGCAGGCATAACTGGCTCGGCCTCCCCCCAGCTTCTTCACCAGCAGCGGCTCAGGGTTTGAGGCCTTCTTCACGGCAGCTGGGACACTGGTGGTGGCCGTGTGCACCCGGAAGGAGTACTTGACCATGAGCTTGCCTGAAGTGTCCTTTGCCGACTCTGCCTGGGTGAGCCTCTACCCTCGTGTGGTCCAGGGGGAGTGGGTGGAGGAGGCCCCCAGTGCCAGCCCATGGCTTGATGTTGTGGCTTCTGTTCTAGCACTGCGTGGCCATTGTCCATATGCCTGGGCGCCGGCCCTTCAGCCAGAACCTGGTCCATGTCTACAAAGACGGCCATCTGGTCAAGATAGCACCCCTCCGCTGCCCCTCTCTCAGTGAGGTGTGCCAAGCAGGGTTTGGGGAGGCCTTGGGTAGCGGGAGTGTCTTGGATAGGGTGAAGCCTGCAGCCCGTGTCCCCCACCCCCACCCCACATAGACCTCAGACTTCAGCCCCTGGGGTCTTTGCAGCCTTGGGGGTCACTGTGAGGAACCGGATGCAGGTGGAGCCCCAGGCTCTGCTGTGACCTGACCACTCCCCCAACCCTGGCCCCGCAGCCTTTCTCCTCCTGCTGTATCGGCTCCGCTGGGCACCGCACAACGACCACCACCACGGGGCTGCCTCTGCCACCAGTCCCCGCTGCCCTGGCTCACGCTCACCCCTCCCTGTCCCGCTCCCAGTCGGTCCCGGCTACCGCAGGGCTTGGCTGGGGGTCGGGGCTGGTGGCCCCCCTGCAGGAGGGCAGCATCAGCTCCACCCTTGCAGGCACACAGGACACTCGGTGGGGCAGCCCCACGTCTCTGGAGGGTGAGCTGGGAGCCGTGGTCATCTTCCACGAAGCCCTGCAGGCAGCGGCCCTGCGGGCCCTGAGCACCTTGGGTATGCATCACCTGCCACGCACCAGCCCAGCCCCACCCCAGACGCGGCTGGTTGGGGCTCATGAAGTGCCCTGGCCAGAAACTAGGGGCCCAGGAGGGGAGGGAGAAGGTGTCCCTAGGCATATATGTCCTCTGATCGGACAGAGAAGAGGCGGGCTCTGGATGGGGTTTGGCCAGAGGCGCAGCCAGGCCTGAAACCCCCTGCCCACCCCCCAGGGCCCAATGAGATGGCACCCTTCAAGCCCGAGGGGGAACTACACGAGCTCAGCACCAAGCTGCTCCTCCATTACTCACCTCAGGTACTGGGTGGGAGGCAACTGGCTCGCCCCTGCCGCCGTCCCCCCGTGGCTCCCACACTCTGTGTGCCGCCTCCTCTCTCAACTGACCCTTGCCGCCTGCCCGCAGGCCTGTAAGAACAACATCTGCCTGGACCTGTCTCCTGGCCACAGGCTGGATGGCCGCCTGACAGGCCACAGGGTGGAGACCTGGGACGTGAAGGTGTGTGTGCCCATGCGGGCAGTGTGTGCAGGGAGTGTAAACACAGGCACGTGTGTGTGTGTGCAGGGTGGGCTGGGAGGTCTCTGGGAGACAAGCTCTAGAGAACAAAACTCCCCTGGACCCAGGTTCCCAGACTGGAAGGTCTGCTGGGGTGGAACGGGGCAGGAAGCAACAGGCAGCTGCCCTCACACGGCCAGCCCTTCCCCTAGGACGTGGTGACTTGCGTGGGAGGCATGGCTGCCCTGCTGCCCCTGCTGGAGCGAGTGGCCTCACAGCCCCAAGAGGCCGAGGCGGGTCCAGCCGAGACACATGACCTCGTGGGGCCCGAACTGACCTCTGGCCACAACACCCAGGGCCTGCTTCTCCCACTGGGCAAGTCCTCCGGTAAGCGGCCCTGGTGCCTAGGTTGGGGTGGCGAGGAAATCTTGCCATGACAAGGAGGCCAGAGTGCTTGACCGCTGGCAGGCCCTTGACACACATCTGTCCCCTTCCTGGTGGCGGGTAGAAGAGCGCATGGAGAGGAATGCAGTGGCCGCCTTTCTGCTGATGCTGCGGAACTTCCTGCAGGGCCACACGGTGAACCAGGAGAGCCTGGTGCAGTGCCAGGGGCCTGCCATCATTGGGGCCCTGCTGCGCAAGGTGGGGCAGGCGGGGAGGGGGCTGCCCTGTCTGACCAAGTGGATGGGGTGGGGGGACTAGGAAGGGGAAGCTGAGTCTGTTGAGGAGAGCCTCCTGGGAGAGGTGGTGGCGTCTGAGTGGGGCCTTGCCAGGCGTGGCAGGATTTGGCTGATGGTGTGGTGGAAGCATCAGCACTTGCTGGGGCTGGAGACCTGCATAGCAGGCTGGGGGCCTTGCGCCTCAGGCAGCGGGGAGCCAGCAAAGGGTTCCGAGTAGGCAGGATGCTCGTGTCCATCCGCCTGTGCAGGGCAGGGTGGGTACCGGGAGGCTCAGTAGCACGCAGCCAGGGCCTGCCACCTCACCCTGGCTCCTTCCACCCCAGGTCCCCAGCTGGGCCATGGACATGAATGTGCTCATGTCTGCCCAGCTGCTGATGGAGCAGGTGGCAGCGGAGGGCAGTGGGCCCCTCCTGTACTTGCTCTACCAGCATTTGCTCTTCAACTTCCACCTGTGGAGCCCCAGTGACTTTGCCGTGCGCCTGGGTAGGTGTGGGGCCTTGGATGAGGGACGCCACCGGGCAGGGTGGGGGTAGAGGTTCTGAGAAGCTCTAGCCCCGCTTCGGGTGACTTGAGGGGACCTGTCTTCCCCCGGGGCATGTGAGGGGAACATGGCCCTGTCCTGGAGGGATAGCTGAAGGGGCTCAGCTCAGCCTGGTGGCCTGAGGCCTCTGGTGATGCCCTCAGGCCACATCCAGTACATGTCTAGCATCGTCCGGGAGCACAGACAGAAGCTGCGGAAGAAGTATGGGGTTCAGTTCATCCTGGATGCGCTGCGCACCCATTACAGGTGAGGCTGCGGGGCTGACACAGCTGCCTCTGGCCTTGCGGACGGGGTCGACCCTCCCCCCACCCCCTCCAGCTCACCTGCCCACTGCCCTCCCTGTTCTCTCCCCTCCACTGCCCTGCCTTCTCCTGGCCCTGGGTGGCTGCGCTTGCCGGGACCGGCCCAGCCCACAGCGGGAGCACCCCCTAGCGGCTGACGACGTGCGCACAGTGCAGACCTCACTCCTCGGCTTGGTGCGGGAGTTCCTGGTCCGGAGCTCCGCCACTGATCACTTGCAGGTCACGCTGAGCTTTCTGGCGGCTACAGGCGATGATGGCCAGGTAGGCTGGAGGCTGTTGAGGGTGAGACTTAGGTGCGGGGTGGAGTGTGGACCGTGTTGTGGGGAGCGGCCGGCCCAGAATGAGGCTTTGTGTCACTTGCTGTGTCCCCAGGTGGCGGGTGCTCTGGACCTGCTGCTGGCACTGCTGCAGGGCTCACCAGCACAGGAGGCTCTGGCTGTCTTCCTGTTGGAGCAGGGGAACCTTGAGGTTTTGCTGGCACTGCTGGTGCAGCCAAGGTCACTGCCCCTGCTGCCCGACCGAGTCTGCAAGGTACACCCAGCCCACCCCCCTAGCATCCATTTGACATGGCCCCTGCCTGAGGGCCAGGGAGGTGTGACTTCCCCTCCTCCAGTAACTCCTTCCCCAGTGATAGCAAACCCCTTGTGACGCTTAACCCCCGCCCCCCCCCCCCCCCCGGCCCCAGATCCTGCGCAGATTGCAGCAGAACGAGCGCTTACCTGAACGGAGTCGCCAGCGGCTCCGGCTGCGAGAATACGGTCTCCAGGGTCTCATCGCCTGCCTGCCGGAGGGGGCTGCTTCGCCCCAGCTCTGCCAGGGCCTCTACAAGCTATTCCTGGGGGCAGGTATATATCTCAGTTGGGGCCAAGAGGCAGGCCAGGCGGAAGGGTGTGATGGATTCAGGAAACAGGGCAGGTGGACATAGGAAAGGTGTTGGTACAGGGGTCAAGGCTGGGCCAGTAGGGCTGGGGTCAATCCCTCAGAGCCTTCCTGGGGTCAGTCCCTCAGAGTCTCTCTGGCCATCTTCCCAGATTGCCTGAACCTCTCAGATCTGTTGGCTGTGGTGCAGCTGTCCCTCCAGGCTGACCTCGGCGTCCGCCTGGACGTTTGTCGCCAGGTAAGTATGGGAAGTGAAAGCTTGCGGAAGAGGGGGCTTCTACCCTGGGGGCTTCGCTTTACCTTCCTGTGAGGAGCACTCTCTGGAGGCCTCCCCCCTGCGAAGGCCCTAGGACGGGAGTCTGGGGGGCAGACTGCTGGATGAGTCTCTCACTTGCTGTGCCCTGGCCCGGCAGCTTTTCCACCTCATCCACGGACAGCCAGATGTAGTGCAGCTGCTGGCCCGGCAGGCCGGCTGGCAGGACATGCTGACCCGGCTGTACGTCCTGGAGGCTGCCACAGCTGGCAGTCCCCTGCCCTTTCCCCCAGAGACACCCACATCCCCAGAGCCAGCCTTATGCAAGCCACCCACCGAATCACCTGAGTCTTCGGATGTCTTCCTGCCCTCGGAAACCCCCAGCCCCGACCCTGACAGCTTTTACCACGCTCTCTCTCCATTTTGTACACCCTTTGACCTGGGCCTGGAACGGGCCAGCGTGGGTTCGTGCAACAATGCGGGCAGTGGCAGTGGCAGTGGGACTCTTACTCCGGCCAGCCAGCCTGGCACACCTTCCCCACTGGATGGGCCCCGGCCCTTCCCTGTGGCCCATGGCCGCCATAGCTCTAGTCTCTCCAACGTGCTGGAGGACGGCAGCCTCCCGGAACCCGCCATCAGTGGGGATGATACCTCAAATACCAGCAATCCACAGGTGAGGCGGGTCCGCTCTCTGCCACTGCGGCACTCTAAGGGACACCTCTGGGACACAGGGCAGGCAGTATAGACTTTCCAGAGGTGGGGTCTTGTCTGACATCAGGGCTATAGGTGCTGGTCAGCCCTGGTGCTGCGGCCTCATTGCTGTCATCTGCAGTTGTGTTCCCGGGGTAGGGGGTCCTAGAACGGGACAGACGATGCTGAGCCAGAGTGGAGGCGCCAGCCAGGCTTTGGAAAGTCCTCAAGAGAGCCTGTAGGGCAGACACTTCACAGGGCCTGTGGGCATTATAGTTCTGAGGAATCTGCCTTGTGTTTCCAGGTTTGGGCATGGGTCTCTGCTTATTCTATGGCATTCCTCCAGAGAATTCCAGTATGGTTCTTGGGGCTGAGATTGCTGTGGGGCAATTTGTGAGCCGGCTCATCTGTTCTTAGGAGTCCTTGAAACCCCAGGATTCTGTCTAGAATATTCAGGTAGTGGCTAAGGCCCCTGCGCCATTCTTCCAGGCCCCACCAGGGTGTCTGCTGGCTGAATGCTCTGCCTCCAGCTGTCCCTACTAGTGGTCGGCAAGGCAAGGGGTGCTCAGCAGGGATAGTGTAGGAGCCAGCGCCTCCCTCCCACCCCCGCCCACACCCCCACATCCTTTTGTGCCCACAGCAAACCCCTGAGGAGGAGTTGTGCAACCTGCTCACCAACGTGCTGTTCTCGGTGGCGTGGCGGGGCGTGGAAGGCAGCGATGAGGCCGCCTGGCGGGAGCGTGGCCAGGTCTTCTCGGTGCTCACCCAGCTGGGCGCCTCAGCCACGCTGGTGCGCCCGCCAGACTGCATCAAGCGCAGGTGAGGAGACAGCTTGGCAGGGCGAGGGGCCTCTGGGACGCCTGAGGGGAAGGAAGACAGCCAGGCGGACACCTGAGTCCCTTGCCCACCCCCAGCCTCCTGGAGATGATGCTGGAGTCAGCCCTGACCGACATCAAAGAGGCCCCTGCTGGGGTCCTGGCCAGCCTCACCCAGCAGGCGCTTTGGCTGCTGCGCCTGCTGCAGGACTTCCTGTGTGCCGAGGGTCACGGTAATCAGGAGCTGTGGAGTGAGAAGGTGCGACAGCTCAGGGGCCTGTGAGGGCCACATGAGTCCGCGTGTTCACAGGAGCCTGCAGGCATCCGGCGTGGGAGGTGGGCGAGTGCACATGTGCACTCACGGGTGCGTCAGAATGGTGTCTGTGTGTGCAAACCCTACCTGGCCCCCAGACTTAAACCCTACCTTGCTCCCTCCCGGTGGGCTTCTGGCCTCCTCTGGTGGCGGCTGCCTGGAATGTGTTGGGCTGTAGCTCTTTGAAGGCGTGTGCAACCTGCTGGATCGCATGGGAGCCTGGCCACACCTGGCCAATGGCACAGCAGATCTGCGAGAGATGGCACAGATTGGCCTGCGCCTGGTGCTTGGCTACATCCTGCTGGAGGACCCGCAGGTGAGCACGGGGTGGGTTGGGGTCTGGCAGCGGCAGGCGTAGGGAACCCGGGGTGTGCCTGGACGCCACCCACACCTGCTGCTGCCCACAGCTGCACGCCCAGGCCTATGTG